GGGCCTGTCAGTGATGTGTATAAAATCCCTGACAGGAATTCTGTCAGGGATAAACAACGCTGCTGGCAAGCCCGTCAGGGATATTATGTACATCCCAACAGGACAGCCCCTCAGTGATATGTATCCCTGACGGCATGCCTATCAGGGATGTTATATAATTAGCAAAAAATTTATGTTGATTTCATGCAAAATTTCCTATATACAATCCATGTGCTACATTCGAAATATATGCAATCCAAATTTCACAACAATCTCCACAACCATCTCGCATACGTTCAAATTTCACAAATTTCGTGCACTTTCCATAATTAGTATCTCGCATACATCCACACACTACATTCGAAATTTTTACAATCCAAATATCACAAACATTTAAAGAAACTTGCATACATTCAAATTTCACATTCTATAACTAATATCTCGCATATATCTACACTTACATTCAAAAATTTTACAATCCAAACTTCACAAATAACAAACCGCACAAATAATATGATAATCTCCTATACATCTCATAAAAAGATCTATATCCACATATATCATACGCACACACATACCCACATAAACAAGCGTCCATAAAAGATCAATATCCATACCCACATATATCTCACAGTTTCAATAAATAAGAGTTTAAGGATATAAAGCATACATACATATCATAACCCTCCCATATAAAAGATGTCTAAGATACAAAAAAAAAAAATTAAAACTAACTTAGTCAGGTCATTCACATTGCCATCATCTGCATTGCCATTGGCGGCTCCATCCCTCCGACTCATGCTCCCAATGGCATCATCTTTATTCTAAAAATAAAATAATCTAAATTAAGACTTACGCATTTAATGTTGTGTGTATAATCATGTTTTACGTATATAAATAAGTATACATGTCTACTACTCTCTCCTACCGATAAATGCCTTTTGAAAGGCCAAAAGTTCACAATATGCGTTTGCAACTGAGTAGGAATCCAACGTCTACAAGATTTCATTATTTACCTGAAAACCATCGCAAAAGTAATAGTAGGGTGTATCACTCGCATAAGCTCCTCCTTAATATCCTCCCATAACTCCTCGGCAATCTGACCATCCAAAATATTCATCACTGATGTAACAAGCTGCATCGCCTGCTGAGTGCAATCCTCCTGCGGCATATAAGAGGGTACCTCCGAGGGCATCGTCGATGGTGTCGAGATCAATGGAGGCTAGAATGGTGTAGACAACCTCTGAACTCCCACTCTCATCCACCTGGTCCTCCCCTTTTTGGAAAGTTCACAAACTAAATGGCTCACATTATAATTCTTCTCTCTAGTCAGGGGCTCCTGGCTCTGTACAACAACCTCAGCATACGTGTTTTCCAATGCTTCCTAAGAGTCAAAAAATATGAATATACAAATTAGCATTTCAATAATAAAGATAATGTAAACCTTCAAGATTAGTTTCAGTATTATGTAATTTATTCAAATAGAGTGAAAGTAAATACAACGTTAAACTACCTGTATATTCTGGGCTAGTTGTAGCTTTTTCTTCTTCTCCTTGTCGTCATCATAGCCTTCTTAAAGTAAACCATCATCCTCCTATGCAATTCAGGAAGCGGGATAAAGTGGACGTTCTGAGATTTATAAATTTAATTATTTATTAGTTTCAGTTATCAAATATTATTGGAAGCGGAGAGAATATATAGAAGATTAAAATATTTTATACCATTGTCCTACAAAATTGATCCTCAATCTGGGCAAATGAAGTAGTCCCTGTATAATGATCGTAATCTTTCCTCAATCGGGTTTGTTGATTGCTCTGACATTTTTTCTTCAATAAGAACAAAGAGAATTTTAGTACAATCTACAATATACAATGAAATATACCAGTATATTCAAATAAATAACTTTTTTGTATGCAATTTCTATTAAATATAACAACATTTGCATAGTAATAACTTATTTTTGGTAATACCTTTGCTTTATAAGCATAAGCTCGATTTAATTATTCAAATGATATCTAACTAATCATCTATACTAGCTTAAGGCTTTTTGGTTTTCTTAAAAATTTTGCATTTATACATGTTAACCTGGTGATCCTCCTGCCCCCATAATAATAGAAGTGCAGCTAATTGATCTGGGTCAATCCTCGGATCTCGCTTGTAGATCCTCTCCTAGTTCACACTATAACTTTCAAAATATTTCTTCTTTATCTCTTGTCTCCACACTCGAAGAGCATGCTTGAATTTTCCCATGTATCCAAACAAAAAATCCTACCCTACGTGATTGTCTTCGATGTTCAAATATCTCTAAATATAAGCATATAGTTAAGTAAGACCAATCGATTAGATAAGTAAAATAATTAAAAAAGAATAGTTTAATTTACCGAACAATCTCGATATATACTCTCCAAGACATGAAAGTGCTTCTCCTCAGCCTCGTAATATGGATTAAGACAATCACTCCTCCGTATTAAACATCCAAGATATGAGGTGAAGTTGTTAGCCAATTGTCTGGTGGGAATCCCACTGTGTCCCCACCTTACAATTGCACGAAAGCCATCTAGTGATAATTTCTTTTTAAACCCACTTCCATTGTGTCCTTTTTTTCTTGAAAAGCTTATCTCCTACAATAATGGAAATTTTTTTTGTTATGCATTATAATATTGGACAAGCATTTAGGGTATCTATAGTAACTAAACAATATAAATTTATAAGTCAATTTACCAAATCTCTGTCTGATTTAAGCTGTA